CTTCAACCCTATTAAATTTAACATTCTAAATTATTAGAGATTTACAGCTCTTGTAAGTGTTCTGTCTCCTTTCAGCTCTCATTCTATTGTAGTCTTTATGGCTGAAGAGAAGAATTGTTTCTAAAGTACAAAAATACTATTATTAATTTTACAAGTGCTCTTAGAGGTTTCATTGTGATAGACATGCATCATCTAGAAGTGACACCATCTCTGCCATCTGTCTGGTATGAAACATGAAAATACTGTATAAATATCAGAATAGACATGATCTGCTCATTCATATTAGTTTTTTTTAATATATATGTGTATATACGTGTATGTACACACATACACAAACACACGACAAACTACTTCACATTGCTTGGAGAATACACCAGCAACAGTAGCTTTGTCACAGCTGAGACATGGGTGTTCTGCATGTTCCTGATCCAGACCAGGAACCTAACCAAAGCCCATCGTGCTTTCCTTACAGGCTGCACGTCCAGCTTCCCTCATGCAAAGCTAACAAATGGGAACCGAGCAAGCACAGTACTTGCTCCGTGCAGTATCAGGCTGGGGAGATAATTTCGAGTCAGGCACTTGAAAGTGCTCACACCTTCACTAGTTCAGACATACCTGTCAATTATTCCTGTTCCATGCATCCAACAATTTTAGTATCACAAGACCTTGTGACAATGTGTTTTGGCAAATATTTTCTGATCATGTCCTTAAACAAAGGAAAATTGTTTTGTGAGATTTTGGTTTTAGTAGAATTTGATCTTTGTCCTTTCCCCCCCCCCGTGTTTATTGCACTGCTCCATGATGGATTTTGTTGTTGTTGGGTATCTTGAGTTTCTAGCCTCATACTTGAACGAACAGTAGAAATAAATACTTAAAAGTATGATGATGTTTCAAATCTTGTGGTCAAGGCCCTTTTCCATGTCTTAAACTGTAATTTCATTTCTGCCTGCCTCTGATTAATGTCAAGTTTTTGCACTTAATCTTATTAAAGTTGTGTCAGCAACTTGAGGGAGTTCTATAATCAAATCTAATTGCCTAGGCCAGGTATCTAAGGCATGAAACACCTATGCCAAATTGCTGACAGAGGCATACTAAATTTATGGTAAACTTAGAACCTTAATCCTCCAGGAGAAGTTTCATGTTTCCTGAAATCATGGACCAGTTGTTTTATTTCCCAGTGCCTCACGACTAAATGCTTTTACAAAAACATTTTGGCAAGTTGAATCCAGATATTAACAACCCCCCTTATGAAACTTAATTCTTTTAGTATCACCTGGGTCTCAGAGCAAAGGGGGAGAGCAGAGTGCAGTGGGGACCATGCCTGTTTTCACTGCTTTTAAGCTAGGATGACTTCAGGCTCCACCCCCAAAGATGCCTAGAATCCAGACCACTTCGTTATTGTACAAGAACCGAAGCGCACAGGCAGCAAAAAAGACTTTTCAGAATAGAGTCTGCACTACCATCTAGTGGAACATAATGGTGTCTTCAGAAAACAAAAATTGTGCAATAATGAGTATAAATCCAAAAACTTTGAAGTCTCATTGTAAAAGAAAAGATAGGCAAAACTAAAATGCTTTATAAATTTTTTTTAAATTAAGTATTTTTTGCATTTCCAATAATCTGAACTTGAAAAAGTATATTAAAAAATGACCTAGAAAAAGTTGCCTAAAACTCTAAGATTTAGAAAGCTCATCTTAGTATTTTAAACCTTCAATTCCAACTTATTTTCCATGCAGATTAATGATTTACCAAATAAACCACAAAGAACCAGCATTACTACGAATACCATTCTACAAGTCACAAACAGCCATTTCCATTAATTTTCCATTTTCGTTACCTTTCATTTCATTTCCATCACTTGTATGAATGACAAGCCTAGAGACAATCCAAATTCTTCGTTTGGATGCTGTTGTCACAGTTCGTCAAATTTATCCAGCTGGGCTTCGAGCTGAAAGTTACAACAGAGCACCCTTTCAGTGGTTATCATGTATGTTTACTTTAGCTCAGAGAACATTTCATGATTCATGAAAAACCAGGTAAAGGTTCCTATAAATTCTAGGTTGAAAACATTGCAACACAGTAACTTCAACTAAACTTCCAGAAAGCACCGAAAAAACATGCAAAATATTAGGGATTTCAGCCTATCAGTTGAAATATTTCTCCCATGTTGAAGTCTGCATACAACTGTCTTGCAGGATATTCTTTATTAAATTATTAATCTTTGTGAAATGCTTGGTAAGCTCCATTTGACAGTCTCTGAGAGTTTGTAGAATAACACATTAGCTTGTGAATCCAACTGGAATAAAAAACCTTATTTGAAATTCCACGCTGGAAACAACCACCATTAAATGCGTGCACCATTTTTTGTCTTGGGAATCTTATCCCAGTTATCCAGTACAATTAATGACCTTCACTCAGTACCTACAGACAGTTACCACTTTGCTAGCATTATCTACATTGCAACTCAAGTTCTATGCATAGATCAATGTATTTTTAATTACTACACAATTTTTGCATCCTGACTTAAAGCTTGCAATTTCCTGCTACATGCCTCCTTTTTTTGCCCAGCTGGACTTGCTGCCTGCCAATCTTGGAGAGCTTGGGGTCAGACAGCAAAATGCCCAGGAAGACCTACTGCGCAGACCCAAGAGTCCTCAGGAGCTCCAGTACATTTACTGATCTTTAACATTTAAAAAAATATACTTGAGAGTCATAATTCAGGTTGGAAAGGACTTCAGCAGGTCAGCCAGTTCAACCTTCTGCTGAAAGGAACTACTTTGCTTAGCTAATAAATAAATAAAATTGATCATCAGTTACACAACAGATTCTTACCACGCACCTGATGAATGAAATCACAGGACAGCCGGGGTGCTGGGACGTCACAGCTTTCTTCTGTACGTCATTCTTGCACTGAGGCTGAGGTGCTACATGCCCAGCTCCGAGTGCAGTTGGATTATCCTGGCAGGATAATATCCTGGCAAGTCCTGGCAGGAATGGACCCCGCTGTCCCCAAGCCAAGAACCATCCCTACCACGGCCTGGGTGTGAAAGGTTGGAATCTTGCCTAGCTTTGTCTATCCCCGAACCTGTTTCTATACGGATCTTAAAAGGGAAGAATGATCACTATTAGCCCTTAATTCCTTTGCAATAAAGTTCACAGCTACTGAGGACACAAAGAAAGGGGAAGACAGGTTGGCATCACTTTGGTAGCACCTGAGGAAACAGACATGCGGTAGTCTGCTCAAACTGGATTCCACTGGAGGTGACTGGCCAGCAATATTCCCTGCATCACCTCTATCACATGAATACAGATTAGAGAACTTTCCTCCCAGAGCTGCCATCTAATCCGGCAGATAAATTCACTGCATAACTCTGAAAGGAACACAAGTGGATTTTTTACTTTAGCTGCTTTGCATTTTTCAAATAATGTATTTCAGAAGGTCGCTGAGAATATTGCTCAGAGCCTGACCGCCTTACAAATCAGTAGGAGAACATACAATAATAAAGTGAGACACTTTGTTAAGATGTATAAAAACACCATTTGTGATTAAATAGCCTGACTCCTTCAGCAACCAGCTACAGCCACAGATAGGTCTGGGACTGTCTGAAGTTTTGGTTCTTTCTACCAAATATCAAAGGTACCATCCAACATTCAAAGGTTTTGGGGGGAGAATATAAATAAACTGATTAAAACAGAAGCCTCATAGGAAACCAATTTTGTATTCAGCTCTTAGCTGAGAAAATACCTAAAATAACCACATCGGTAACTGTATTGGCAAACACTGCTTTTAGATGGAGACAGGATGAACTGAGTGATGGTCCAAACCAGTTTAAACAGCACGGCAAACGTGAAGAAAAAATCTAGGCTTGGCTGAGCCCATCGAAGTAATAACAAATCCATCTGCAAGAGTGTCTTGCACAATTATTTCTGCTCTCTTAACAAGGTCTTGTGGATACGTAGGCAGTGTTCTTTTGCAGGCACTGATCCAGTTACTGCCCATCTTGCGGGACTGAATGGACGGTTTGATTTTGATCCAAGTCTGGAAAATGCAGACACCTGATCAGTACTGGCACTGCCAGGAAGCGTGCCATCCAGAAACACCTTGCCATGAGGGAGTTATGAACGATGGGCATGCTTTTACTTGGCTTTAGCTGCCTTCCCATTCATTAGCAGAAGCCCTTTATTCTGCTAAAAAAGGAAGATATCTCCCCTAGGAAAAAGAAACCCAAAACTTAACATGATTTTGTAGTTAGTATTGATAAAGATTATCCAGTGGGGTCCCTTCTAAATGCAGTAGTGACTAGGTGATGAACTTCTGCAGCTTTTATTTATGGCTGATGAAAACTGACTACTAGGAATTCAGACAAGTTGTAGTTGTTTAAGGGAAGAGGTATCATAATTATGGTATTATAATTAATTATAAGCTAATGTTTAATGCAAATAGCATCATTTCTATGGCTGTTTTTCTGTAATAGAGGATCCAATGCCTCTCTTATTTATGCAGTATGTAGCTGCATTCTGTATCAATATCTACCTTACCAAGCAGGTGGAAGGACAGGAAAGAATCCCATATGTAGAAAACTGCTGTTTCTAAATCTAAGGCAATTATACACAGTTCTAGGTCGTTTTGAAAACATAAGTAATAACAACTGATTACTAAGTACTAGAATCATGACAATTTGTTCAACTCATCATTTTAAGAGAAAAATTTTTAGACACTTAAGTTGAACAAAGGACCTACTAATTCTTACGTGTGAATCTGTTCCAGACCAACAAGCATGGAATTCCCCAGCTAAGTATCCCGTACTTCTCGCTCCACTTTCTCTCATGTGAAACCCAAGAGTCTGCCTACACATCTTACAGCACGGCTATCTAGGTTAGTGTAGTCAGCATATATGACTATTTTAAAAATTCACCTCATCATATTACCAATTAGGTCAGGGATATGCAAAAGGGAGGAAAAGGGAGTGTGTGTGTGTAGAGGGAAGCAACACGCTGACTTCCATATGAACCATTTATTGAATAAATACATGCATCATAATGTAGAATTACATGAGCAAAAAAGGCAATCTGTACAAAATTGATTACCCTTTGTTCTCATTTCAACTCTCATCATTTGCTGCAGCTCTGATAAAGGATTCAAGACAGAAAATTAGAACTCTTTTAATCCAAATCCAAGCGATATGCATGCTGATTTGAGTTCGGGTTATACCACTGCTATAATTAAGAAAGCTGGTTTTCTTGTCAGTGAAGCAGAATAATTCTAAAAACAGTTTCAATAGTAGAGAGAACATGTGTTGGTACATACAGGTAACAAAGCTTATTTTTAGCCATTTCTTAAACATCTTCATATGTTCATATTTTAAGGCACAGGATAAACAAGAACTACATGAAAAGCTATCAGTTGATACTGAATACATTGACTTGATAATGAGGTGCAATTTTTGCCCAGAGGAAAAATAATGTTTGTCCTTCCTCCTTCCACATAAAAGGAACAATCAGAATTTGGTAATTATGATACAGAGATTTGTTTCCACTATCAAAAGAATCAATCTCATCTAGGCAGTCATATTCTGATCCAAATTCACTCAGGAGAACATTTCTAAATGTTGACATCCAGGACTGATTACAGTCAATGGGAATTACTGCTGCTTAATTACAATGACAAGTCAATCTCTTCATTTTAGATTCCTAAATGGGAACTGGGCTCTTTTAAGAGCCTATCCCTAATTTTACGTTGTGAGCCATTTTGGAAAGCTGTCCTATATGCTTCATTCAGTTACTCACTTTGTGCTATCATCTCACATTTACCCAAACACAGCATTATTTTCCCCCTCGAGACTTTAGAAGACAGATGTGCACTTTTTTTTGTTTAAGTGCAGAGTCTTCTAACATCTGTCCCCAGACTTCACTTAAGACCTGAAGCACCAAATCAGTTTAACAGCCCATTTGTTGGCTATGGAGCAAACTCTGGGGAGTCACTGGCCAAGATGTACAGCTAAAGTCTTTCCACCTCAGGCTGAACCAAGTCAAAAGACAATCATGCTGAACTACTGCTCTTAGACCTCCTTTATTTAGATCAGATTTCACTTTCTGCATTTTCATTGCATTAACAATAATTCTCTGTCTTTCCATTCTTAACATTTTAATGGAGACCTAGCAAAGAAAATACATACTTCATAATATATTACATTTTATATGAATAGATGAGTGTATATATAGAGAGATACTCATACATTCCAATATAGAGTGAAGCCTTCAAATGGAAATGTTTTCTTACAAAGAACCTCTCTCTATTGCCCAGTCCATCAGAAAGTAACAGCAGCAATATTTACAGTGTAAGCTTGTTTGCTAAAATTGTCTTGTATAAAATGCGGCAATAAGAAGGCCATCACTGTATAGAGGTGTATGCATGTGTGTCACACACATCCGTGACAAAAGTTCATGTTAAACTGAATTTAGACAAACTGAAATGAGTCAATTCTTAAACTTGAAAAAGACAAAAAGCTACATCTATGGTAGGCACTTTGGTACATCTAGTAGTGTAGGCATATTCTACATCCAGAATTAAGGTTCTGTCAGTAATCTTACAATAAAGCTAATTTCAGGAGTTTATATTCTGCTTTAAAATTCTTTCTTGGCTGAGAGATCATTCTAGAATCTTAGCTAAGTAATATACTTTGTCTGTCTAATTGCATACTTATCCAAGAATGAGGGCGTTGGCTCTGAAGGAGCTGAACTGTTCTCTTGGATTCTTAATGCACATTTTTATAACAGTCTGAGAAAACTTACCAGAAAAAGAAAAATCAGTTCTGAATACAAAAAAAATTCCTCATAATTCATAATATCAGAGTTATGAGCTCAGCTATTCAGGCTGATACTCTCCCTTCAACTCTCAACTGTCTACTTTTATCAGTTTGTGCTAATTGTATCACTGCTGTAGTCTTGCAGCAGACTATGGCAATGCTTCAGTAGAATGCCATTATTTCTCAAGAAACCTGTGTGGACCACTGAAGTGCATTTTTTTCATGCACCAAACACACTAAGTAGCAATGAAGAAACTGTAAAGACAAGTCAGTTTCAACTCAATTTCACACTTTCTTACCTATTGGTGTTCCGTTTTAGTATTACAGAAGGTATAGCACAATATACTATTTAGCACAGTATTGTATAATAAAAATAACATATGTCTTGTACGTATGCCTACTATATGAACTTACATTGCAAGCGGATTTGTATACCTTATAAATCAGTGGAACATGGCAGTAAGGACAGTTCTAAATAGTTAGAGATTTTGTTTATAATACAGAAAAATCCATGTCCTCATACCTTCAAAAGGTCACACGTCTAGTACTATAGATTACAGGAATAAATAACAAAATCCAAGTGAACCTGTATAATAAAACTGTACTGTTTGTTATGTTTACTCCATTAAATGAAAACTCAGATTTAGAAACTGTGTGATTCATGGACCTCATCCTCTATTTATACAGTATTTATAGAACTCTCATTTTTATTTATAATATTCTATAGCTGATTTTCCAATAATACATTTTTATATAAATATTAAAATGTTAATGTTTTGTACATTTTAAGCTAGCCACACTGGGCCAGGAACAATAAAGTAAAAATGTTTTTCTGCAGTTTGTTTTTGAAGAATATCACAAAATGAGTAAGACCATTGTGCTGCAAAGACAAGAGAGATTCATCTGAAGAAATTAACATGCATTTAGAGGAAAATATCTATAACCTTTATCTAATTTTCTTCTGAATTCAAACCAGCATGAAAGAATTATAAAAAAATAGTATATATTTACATGGTACAGTATACCTTCGTGAGATATAAAACAAGGCAGGAAAACAGCAGAACATAATCTTTTCACTTTCTAATAGGTACAGCCATCATAAAGGTCAATTTAAACACAAAAGGTTACCTTACTGTACTATTGCACATTACAGTAACACTTAAAATTGTTTAGCAAATTAAAATACAAAGTTTAACAATGAGAAAGGCTATGTCTACATAAAATGACCAAGTGTTATAAAATTATTGGGTATGTGTCTAAGAACTTAATCAGTAAAGCTATAAAAATAATATTGGTACATCTGTGAGAACAACGCTTTAAAAATATATAAAGGTTGGCAAAATTATGCTTGGGGAATTCCCAGTATCCATGGGCCTAACTTGCACCATGCGGCCTTGTACCATCTTCTGTTAAATCATACCTGAAGATGAAAAAAACAAAGGATTTTTTTTTTTTTTTTTACATTTAGCATGCATTATTAAAACTGTTATTAACACACTAGTTATTAGTATGTAGTATTATTATTAATGAAGGAAATATTATGCTTACCACTGGGTCCAGCCTTTAGCAAGTTCTTCCGACGCCAGAGGTATTAATAACTGTGGAAAGTTAAATTAGCAATCAATGCATTATATGTGCCTTTCATTCTATGTCTTTTAAAGATCAAATCTGACAATCCCGTAAACTACAGTATAAGTAATGCCATTAATAAACAATATATTTTACATCCTTGTCATCATAGCTATCTGCTCAACTTGTAGTAAAGTTTCAAGTTGCTGGTTTTGACCTAAAAAATCTATACCATTTAGTGATATGGTCCCAGAGCACCTCACAGGCTTGAATTCTGAATATGGCATATCTTGGCAATGGCAATCAGCCGATGTGTTTACACTAACACCCCTCCTGATAAACGGGAAAATTAAGAACACCATTCACCATGAACTGACCACGATTCTGATATCTCTCATCCTCTTTACAGAGCTCAAATATGGCAATATGCAAGGGTGTAGTAATTCACTATTCCTTTTTGCGTGCTCCAAATCACATATGTAAGAAATAGTGTGATTTAATGAGTGCCTATAGAACAGTGAAGTTGTAAACACAATAGCTGGTTTTGGCATTAGGAACATCTCCAGTAGCAGTTCTTTCTCACACATTTTACAATCTGGAATTTTAATTACTAAACGTACATTTGTTCTTTGTGTTTCTCGAAGTACTCTTGCTTGTCTTTCCAGTTTTGTCTGAACATTTTCTGAGATATCATCTGTTTTCTACTGGTTGTTTTCTTTCTCTGACTCTATAATTAATAAGTCTGACATGCAGGTTTCTTTTGTTACTGTGAGCCTCAGAACTTACCATTCTCTAGAAGAGATTACTGACACATCATTTGATGTCTGTTCTGCAGTTTGTTCCACCCCTTACTGAAGCTTGACATCTAAGCCATCTATAATTTTTAAAAGCTTTGTACCTCAATCAGGTGCTTCAATCAACACTAACAAGCTCACATCACAAGAAGACTTTCGTCTTGTATAACAACATGCTGTATTAACAGAATTTGCCTCTCGTCAACTTACTTTTCCAAGCAGCCCTTTATCTTTGGACAAGAAACCACCGCTGTTCTTCACTGCCACGTCTAGTGTTCTTCTCTGTACTTCCGGCAGGGAAACACTGAAATCAAATCTGAAAGGCAAAGTGATGCTTTAGTGAGAATTTTGTACCTGAAGTGCAAATTGATTTCCTACAGCTGAACAATTCAAGTCATAACCAAACCATCCGCCTCCCCAAACAAAAAATAAGGTCTGAGATAAACAAAGAAAAAATTCCTAATGTTTTCCCTAAAATTCTTCTTCAATACTATGATCAATATCAACATCAAATGTTTGAGACTTCTGTTACCTTTGGTCTCTAAAAGCCACTGGTAAAACAAAACAAAAACCCAAACCAAACCAAAGAAGGAAAAGGTCAACCACTGACTCTCCAGAGAAGAGAATGAGGAATCATACTGTACTGACAGCCCAGTATCACTATTCCCCAAAGGGAAAGACTGGTCAGTCTTACTGATCCTCCATACTTGATAAGCAGAGCTCCTTTTCTTTCCTGGCACACCAAGGAAACCTACCAACTTTTAAGGAAGAACACATTTTGTTTGCTAGATCTGAAACTTACAGAAGGTGAGGGCAAGTTTGTACCACAATCTACATCTATTTGTCACTACAGTTCTTAAACAGCTTTATTGCTTTGCAATACATTTTACTTGGAAAGGCACAGTAAAACTAATCTATTACCTGGAATAAAGAGGAGAGAGCTGCATGACCAGGGAAACATACCAGGGCCTCTAACTAATGATTTACAGATTTCCCTTGGACAGAATGAAGCGCTGTTTTCCCCAAATTAACTTTCAGTCTGTAGAGAAAGGTCATCTTTATTGAAAAGTGATGGGTGGGGGAGTAAGGAGTACATGTGTGAGGGAAACTACCATCAAAAAGCTGAGTGCAAAGATAAGCATTTTGGTACAATATAACATTGCACAAGCTTGCACACTTCCAACCTGTGGCCCAGGATAAACCTACAAGGAAATTTCCTGACTCCCTGGCTGCTGAGAAGTGCACCAAATTGACTGACTAAACAATTTGATCATGCATAGACACTGGCTGTCCAGTCCCACACAGAGGCAGCATCAATCAGCCAGGCAATCGGCCAGTCAGAATCAACATGCTTCCTGGCAAGAAGAGATACCAACAGCACTGGCCAGCTAAAAGGCACTCGTGTTCTGACCACCTGCCAGAGGAGTGCATGCTGCTTCTTAGCTACCAGCACAAAGGGGATGTAACTGACACAGGAGAAGGCAGAAAAGTGGCTGGTACCAGAGTAAGAAGGGCTATAGTGATAACAGGGAATAGAAAGATGGGAAGAGCTATTATAGCAGAAGAGAAAGGTATGATCAAGTCTGGTGGTGACAACTAGGAGCTTCAGTGGCTCATCCATTCAGGTCAGCTGAGAAACCTTGATTTGACAGCTTTGTAATTACATGATATAAAACCACTACACATAGTGTAGAACATACATTTGATCAAACACTGGGTTTAATGTCTTCTTTGATACATGTGTTTTTCTTCTTCCCGATCGTCTCTTGTCAGGCAATAAATACATTCGCACATATGGATCGGATCCTTCTTCTGAAAACGCTATTAGATTCCTGTGACCAGTGAAAAAACAAGGAAAAACACTTAGAAAATAAATCAGACATTGCTGAATATAAGTGTCTACACTGCTATCACTTAATTTAGTACATGAATCAGTTGTGGGATATCCTGCACAAAGTATGAAGCACAGGATACAGCACATCAATAACAGCAGTGGAAAAGAAAAACTAACAAAAATGCCAAGCAGTGACTTGTACAAGATCAGATAAATGGTGAGCAGACAGCAGAGGTGGGAATACAGTATTTCTTAAATTCCAATTCAAAGTTTAGATATGGCTTCCAACAGTCATGCGGTTTTGTCATTCCATGAAAAATTCAGTCTCTCAGAGATAGCTTTCAGACACTGCTGACAAAAATCTACATGCCATTTTCATTTAAAATCTGACAGAGGCACAAGAGACAAATACAAAATCACAGCAAAATCTTCAACAAAGTTTTTACTGATTCTGAGTATAGCTCTGTATGTTTTTGTATTTACACATAATTACAATCGGTATGTTATTTTAAAAATAAAAAAGATCATCCAGACAACAAATTTAAGAGGATAAGTCAAGATATGACAAGTTTACAAAGAAATACGCACAGAAATGAAATTTGGTATTTTATGCTCACCTGCAGGAATGCACTACCACAATCAGTTTGTTTCTTTGTGAACTATGACGAATTGTTAGCTGAATCTGTCCTAATGGAGACTGCCCCAGAGTCGTTCCACTGCAGGAAAAAGTAGAACATTATGCTTAGTTTTTAAAATGCATATTTAAAGTAAGACCTAACTGAAATACATGCTGAGCAGTTTTCTCAGAAATCATGTATTATGCATTTAACTTTTCACTAGACCAATGTGAAAGAACAGAGCACACGTTAGCATGTGAGCATGTCTTCCATCAGTTCCTTGTCCTTCAGTTCCTTGTCCAACAGCTCTACTGTCCAAAATAAGCTAAATATTCTTGTCACTTTAGAGGTCAGCTGCTCTTCAGCACTTTGAAAACCATTATCAGTAAAGAACTTGCTTACCCTAAAATAAACATTAAAGCAGTATCTAGGAAATTGGAAAGAATAATGGTGCAAACTGCAATGAAAACCTCAGTGATAGGCCACTCTAACCTATGGCCAGGAACAAATTAGAAAACCAGCTCATTCTTTTCTGAATTCTCTAATGTAGAATTATATTCTTGGGATTAAAATAGTGATACTTAAAACCACTTATTATCTTAAAAGCTCAAATCACAGTATAAACACAGCCATTTCACTTTCCTGTAGCTCATGCCACACTGAAAAAAAGTTTAGAATTAATTTACACTTATAAATACAGGTCATGCTTACATAAAAAGCAACCACCACTGTCCTGGTTTCAGCCAGGATAGAGTTAATTGTCTTCCTAGTAGCTGATACAGTGCTATGTTTTTGAGCTAGGTATGAGAAGAATGTTGATAACACTGATGTTTTCAGTTGTTGCTAAGTAACGTTTAGTCTGAAGTCAAGGATTTTTCAGCTTCTCATGCCCAGCCAGCAAGAAGGCTGGAGGGGCAGAAGAAGTTGGGAGGGGACACAGCCAGGACAGCCGACCCAAACTGGCCAAAGGGGTATTCCATACCATGGGACATCACATCTAGTATGGGAACTGGGGGGAGTGGGGGCGGGGGGATCACCGCTCGGGGACTAACTGGGCATCGATCGATTGGCAGGGGGTGAGCAATTGGCCTGCGCATCATTTGTACATTCCAATCCTTTTATTATTACTGTTGTCATTTTATTAGTGTTATCATTATCTTCATTAGTTTCTTCTTTTTGTATTCTATTAAATCGTTCTTATCTCAACCCACGAGTTTTACTTTTTTTCCCTGATTTTCTCCCCCATCCCACTGCAGGGGGGCAGGAAGTGAGTGAGCGGCTGCGTGGTGCTTAGTTGCTGGCTGGGGTTAAACCACAACAACCACGTTTAAGAATTTCTGTTTTAAAGACTGGCAAACATTCGCAGAGTTCCCTCATCTCTATGAAATACTTATTTTAGTTTCTGTGAACTGACTGTATTTTCCATTTCACACAGGACAGTATATGGCGTGCTTGGCATTTCTCAACCACCTGAAGGATATCTTAACTTCAAGGGAGAAGCATACCTCTTTTGTGAATAGCTACTACAAAGTGATTGCTCCATTAAAATTCACAAGTCATTCACTTTAAAAACTAGAATGAAGCGTTTTGGTTCAGAATTTTCTTAGTAAAATAAAGTTAATAAAAAATCAGAGTACCTAAAAACATGGGGCATGCAATAAAGGACCTCCTTAGCTTTACCACTATCATCAAATAAGGAAGTATGAAATTTGTGTATTAAATAAAAAGTAGTATTTCAACATTTATCATAATTAACAAAGTCTAACCCAGTTTGAGGCCAGAAGAGAGACTGACAAACTGAAGACAAGACAGCAAAGGACCATAAAGATAAATGGGGGACTAGAGCACATAAGCAGATGGTGAAGGAAATGAGTTTGTACAAATTGAAGAGACAGCCAAGATTGGATTCAATTGCAGCCTTTTACTACTTAAAACAGACATTATAGAGAAGACTGAGTCAGACTCCTCGTGGCTGTGCACAGTAAAAGAAACAAGAGGCCTCAGTCAAGTTGCAGCAAGGCAAATTCCAATTGGAAGTACGGAAAAAAACGTTGTCACAGTGGAGTGGTTAAGCACCAGAGTTGCTGAGAAAGTTTAAAGAATCTCCATCCTTGGGGACATTCAAAACTTGTTTGGACAAGGCCAAAGAAACTTGATCTAACTTGAAGTGGGATGTGCTTTGAGCAGAGGGCTGACTGATATCCAGAGGTTCCTTCCAACCTGTATTACTTTATTGATCCTATGAACTCTGATAGAGAAAAAGATGAATCTTTCTACATAGATTCACAGAGAAGCTACATGAATAGGGAATTAATGGTCTCCATTCTCCTATTCAGAGGACAATGGCTGCTCAGCTATCTTTACTGGTAAGTATAGCTGCCCATTGAGGCAAGTAAAAAAAATATTAGAGAATTTAAGAAAGCATGGCTGCAGCAATCCTCATTAATTGAATAGTAACTGACTATTCATTTAACATTCTTTCTAGTCAACTATCCCTCTGAGTAATTTAAAAAGACCAACTATATTCCACTTAATTAGCTTAATATTAATGCTAATAGGATTCAGTGGTGGAACAGGCAACTATTGCCATGAAAGTGATTAATGTTGTATCAAAAAGTATCCTTCCCTATTGCCATCCCACTCTTTTTAGCACTACACAGTGTAGCTATGAGAACAAGGTGGACTTTATCTTGCAGATCATTGCAATGGTAAGGTAACTTCTAATTGCAGAATCTGTCTAACTGAGGTACCAGGAGAAAGCAGAAAATCATAATGACTGATTTTCAGGTGCCAGACTCAAACTGCAACAGGAAAAAATATTACTGAGATGCAATCTAAGCACTGTTTCTTTGGCTGCACTGACGACATTTTCTATAAATCAACTTAGATGTATTTCAAAAACAAGTGATTAACACCATACTTTTCAAGCTGTCGCAGTCTTTGCCGTAGCTCCTGCGTGGCAATAGGCAGAGATATGTCTGAGGCTATGCTAGGAGTGGGTTCTTTGACCGAGAGGTGGCTGGGAGAATAAGAGAAGTTAGAGGCATGAAGACTGGAAGAACTTCGGCTGAGATCTGTTGGCCACTGAGGGCTGGCATTAGAAGGCTGACTTTTTTCAGCTGTATCAGTCTTTTTATCACTATCAGTCACTGGGGAAGCTGGAACAGGTTTGTTTGAATCAGGTGGTGGTGAGACAGGAACCTGAGGCTTAAAAGATGATTTTCTTGCATCTTTGGAAAGAGATGGCCTTTTTACTTGGGCTGAATGTTGATGATCTGGAGATCTTGCTTGCTTTTCAAGAGAAAGGACCTAGATACAGTAAAAATACATATAATATTACTATTTTCCAGTATAAAAAACCAGGAACAATTTTTTTTTTTTTCTACAAGAGTACTGGTTGGTGACAAGTTGTTAAGTTCAGACATGAAAGCAGGACCAAAAATATTCACACTTATACTTATTCACTCTACCATAGGAAACCTATTGCACAGCAAAACAGAGCTCCATCTTCTTTGTGGCAACTGTAGTAACTATAAAACAATGTGAAATTCTCCATTCATTTAGAACTATTGTCCTCATTATTCCCTTCCCATACTCTACACACTTCTGGTGCAAGTGCTATTTACTTTGCAGCTCTAACCACCTGGAAAGGTATTCTATAATTTTTTTCTTCTAATCTTTTGAAATTTAATCCTACATCACAAGTTCTTCTCACTCATTGTCCTTACTTTCTCTGTTATAGGTTACCTTCCTTTATTAATGACAAGTAAGCAAGAAAGTGCTTTAGAAAAGAACAAATAACAGAAATTAACAGCAGTTTGACAGTGTTTGCAAAGAGATATACTACCTTATTAAACCAAATAATTTAGCTGGGGAAAAAGACAAAACCAACCTTCAGGCATCCAAGTTTTGTCTTCAAAACTCCAATGTGCTTGAAAGTTGGTCTGAATTTTTTCTAATACTATGAAGGTACTTCCTTTCCCTATAAACTTTATTCTTTTTAAACCATCATGACCTCAGTTCCATTTCTGTAAGACAAAGGTGATTTCACTGATCTGTAGCCTACTGAGTCATAAAAGACTTGAAGGAATTCAGATTCCAAACAAGATTTCTGAACCTAAAACCATGAGGAACCTCAGTCTTAATTAATGCAGCTGATAACCGTTTCATTCAGAGAATTTTCTGGTTTTGAAATCAAATGTATTTCAATTAGAGGTTATCTTTGTGTGATAGTACTTAATAGCACTACCACAACTAAGGACACTTGGCATTGTGACACCCAAGGAAATGTACTATATTCTCCATAAAGCTGAAAGATCAGAACTCACAAGTCTTAAATATGCTTTCAGGTATTTACAATGGGAAAAATTTTAGAGTACCCTGAGTGCAATCTTCATGTTTATAGTGCTGTTTGGACCGGAGTTGCTCAGGTGGAACCGCTGATGCATAGTTAAATCTTCACTCTCTAGCAACTGGCTTAGAGGCAGTTTGAAGTTCCCCAAAGAACACTGGTGCTGTTCATCCCTCACCTGAAGGAACACAGAAGCTAAGTCATTTTGTAGCATCTGCTTTGTAAGAATTCAGAGAAAGAAAAGGAAATGACAGTTTTATTAAAAAAAAAGAAATAATCCAAATATCAAATGTAGTTTGTTCTTAAAGCAAATTTCCCTGATCATAAGATAACTTTACATTGAAGAAGGAAACGCGAAATATACTCAGTGCCTAGTTTCTTCATCCCAATCTTCTACAGCAAAAGCAAGACAGAAGACTAACCAGCTCATCTACATCTACTTGACCCTTGATCAAAATAACTACATGGTTTCCAAATGGTCTGTGTGAAAATTACTTCCCACAACAGTTCGAGGAATAGTAACTAGGACAGTCCTCATTTACACTTCAGTCTCTTTGAACTATGGAAATGACATGTCAGCAGTGTAAAGGGATACGGTATTTGGATAAAGCAAAGACTTGGGATAAGAAAGGAAACAAGTCAGCAATTTCTGCTAGCAGTTAAGACTGTTAAGGTTCGAAACAGGTATAAAAATTTACTTTTTTCACTTTTTTTAAGTAAGACAACCATCATGTTCTTCTGGTGAGAGTTTGGTTATAGTCTTTCTTCCTTTTAGTAGTAAATGCAATTAAACATTTCAGGGGTTGGTCTTAAAAAACACTTTAACTATAGTTTTAATGGTGTTTATAATATATTCAGTCTCATTTCATAACAGCCTGTAATGTCTGAATGTTACTACTGCAATGTCTTAGAAAAGAAAGGTATCTAAAGAGAGTGAGACAACATACCTCAACTTCAAGATCTTGTCTTTTGGGATTGTGTACAAAGAAAGTAAAGTTTTCCTCCCATACTGGTTCATTGGTCTTGTATCGAATCTAAAGTTAGACAACACAAAGCGTATGAATTATAAAACATTTTTGTCTAATGAAGCTGGTGTCAAGAGTTGACTACATTTTTCATTTTGGCTTTGCAAAAATTTATGTCTGAAACGTCACATTTTTAAACAAAGGCCAAGTGGGATCTACTCAAGGCATATATAATATCACATATAAAATTATACACAGCACATGTAGTAGAATACTTTTTGCATTGAAGTTGCTGTATGTAAAGTAAAACACTTTCACACCAGTCTATGAACAAATGCAAGGTCTTCAGACTGGCACATTCTCTCTCTTCTCATACTTCTCTATAGGGGCTAACTCAGTGAAACTCCTACAAACTAATATTTTTCCTTCTAATCTCCCAAGTAGCCATGTGGGAGATTTCAATGCCAAATCTCACTACTTTCAGCAACTCATTAATGGGGAGAGTGTATGCAGAGAGAGAAAAAAAGCACTTATAAAAAAAGCTATCTCCAGGAACAAAGGACTTGAATTTCTATACCTGCATTCTCTAATAGGTATCAAAATTAAGATTGTATACAAGATCCAGTTTATGCTTTGTGACAATTTTTGACAGGGTATGAAGAAGCCAAATTAGATGTCCTCTCCTTTTGGCTCACTGACACTTTTACTTAAAAAAGAAAAACAACAACAAAAAACACAACCACACCACACCACCCCCCAAGCCCCACACTGACACTGCATATATCTACCTATCTAGGTATCACTTCACTGTTGGTATTTTATTTTAAAGAGCCATTTGAATACACAGAGGTTAGTTATGGGTGACAAGTATGTTGAATACCTTGGGTCAGAATCGGAGGGATCACCATCAAGATCGATCTCATGACAGACATCTGTTACAGACCACCCAATTAGGAAAAAGAGATGGATGACACCTTCTTCAGACAATTCAAATCTGTCTCAGATCTGCAGAACCAGGTTCTCACTGAGAGCTTCAACTATTCTAATGTTTTCTGGGAAAGCAGCACAGTGGTGCACAACCAGTTTAAGGGTTTGTGCTATGAAAACACATACTGTTGTATTACGGTTGTTCTCAATCATTGAATGTATTGACTACGAGTAGTGTTCTTCTGAGTCTACCCCTTACAAATGAGGAATACTGTTTTGCAGATGTAACTGTCAACAGCAGCCTTGGCTACAGAGACCTTAAGATCACAGAGTTTAGGGGGCATGAGGAAAACAAATAGCAGAATAAAAGCAGATTTCAACTTGCTCTAGGAACTGTTAGAAGGTATTCCAAACTGTTAGAAGGGATTCCAGGAGTGTCTATCGTGGAGGGCAAAGGAGCTCACGAGTGCTAGAGGACAGCCCTCAAAGCACAAAAGTGGTCCATACCTCAAAGCAGAAAAAGCAGCAGACATAACAAGAAAGTAGCCTGGCTAAACTACGAGCTCCTGAGAGCTACAACACGTTGGCTAATCTAAGGCCCTACTCTAAGCAGAAGGTTCAAGCAGATGATCTTCACTGTCCTTTTTGACCTGGACATTTCTCTAACTCTGCAATTCTGTAAATTTTCAAATCTTGATCAGTATTTCAGAGCCTGCTGCCTGCCAACACTGTTTTTTATATAATCACTACTGTAGGAATCCCAGTTGCAGATCAGAACCTACTGTGGAAGGACACCCACAAATAGTTAAAAATCTGGTCTCACAGACAGTTTAAACTGAGTAAGCACGTGTTCAATCCTTGGCTTCTTGTTGGCAATTTCAGTTCTGGTGGTAACTTTCAGTGCAGTATATATACCCAATGGCTTGACAGCCAATGCCAAGCCACAGAGCCACCAAATTTTTGTAGACAGAGCCAAGTATAAAAAGTAGGAACTTACCTTACTTTCCTGTGCCTTGTGTCCAACTGACAGCAGAACAAGTGGGTTGGGATTGCTGTTGATTTTCTTTCCTGACTGGTAAAGAAAAAGCAAAAACTTCGCCTTCAGAACAACGCAAAACCTCTCTCCTCTGAAACTTAAATGTTTGCATCTTAAAAGTACAAATCACATATGCATTCTACTATATACTTATCTCTTATTCTCAGTATTTTATTCAACAGGGTTGAATGGCAGACTGCCTAGTAACTGGTGAACACACTAACACGAAGGCATCCAACTACCCTAAATATGCTGAAGCAAAATGCTACAAATAAGCCGGAGTTTTAGACTCCTTTCCATTTTCTTTGAATGAAATTGGTAAGGTGCAAATTCTTATCCTTTAATGAGCATTACAACCCCCAAAGCTCATGAAGCATAGTTAAAACTGCAAAATGAATATTGCATGCAGATGGGAGATATGGAGAAAGCACAAACTCAGGAAACTTACTTTATTCACATTGCAGTACTATTACTAAATTGGATGTAATACCACAACATTGATATTCCCCACTTTTCAGTCTGGGGAAAAAGAAGATGCACTATAATGTACCTGATGTATATTTCTACAGTTTACCAAATACTCTTTATTAGAGATCAACCATCTGCCATATCTGAGCCTTGCTCACCAGCTGTATAGCACTACATCAAACTGCAAAAATAAACATCAGTTTAGAAACAAATTATATACACAAAGGAACATTCCCAACTACATGTTTCTTTCACAAACTTTAAATTAACCTAACAAATTTTTAAGTCAGAAAGAAGTTAGACATGAAAGTTAATCATCTCAAGCAGCTGTTAATGCAGTTTAAAAGGCCTAGAAAATATAGTATACATGGTTAATAATAGACTTTGAATTCTACCATGTAGGAAATTGTACAGATCAGGTATGTAAACAGAAAATTAGTTAAAATCTACTTAATGCATGTAAGGTCACAATTACAACCAAGTGATTCAAATATTTTATAGTTTTAAATTATGAATGTGCATATTTTACATATTTTTGGATCTGAACTTACATTTTGGACATCATATTTCCACTAATATTACTTGACTTTAATGTGACACACTGCTTATAACCATAGTTTCCTTTAGAAAAAAGCTGTTAAGTAAGCACTCCTTTCTTGGATGAATGCAGCATTTCTTTTTTTCATGATTTCTAATAAAAAATATTTAGCTCTCACCAAAGACAACAGAATACAAAGGTTTAAGGAACAGAAAGAAAGTCAGATTATACTCCAACTGATGGTGTTTAAAAATGGTAGGCGACATGTTTTGGTTTTGCTTTGTCCATGAAAAGGTGCCTGAAACTCTCTTTTCTTCATAAAATGATGAAACTACAGAAGGTGACAGAAAGACCCTGTTGCTTATGCTGATATGTAAATGTAAGTAATTTTAATTCATGCTAAATAGGTAGCAATATGTACACACACATATAACACACCTCTAACACCTGCTACTGACAGATTTGCTGTTGACAGTCTATTAGAGACTGCCTCTTGTCCAGGTTCAACCAGCTGAGAACTTGGCTTATGCCTTCCAAGTTTGCCTCTCAACTCCACATCTTCCGTATCAAAAAGCTGGGCTAAATTTATTTAGCATTTATATAAAAGATGTAAAGATTTCTAAAAACATCTAGCAGAAACAAGATTATTTCAAAACGTCAGAGATTGATTTTATTGGTTAGTTATTCAGAGTTGACCAATAAAGTATCACTCGGTATGTAACAGATGTCTTAGCTTTCATGTCAGGTTTGGACTTTAGTTACTATTTCAAATTAGTTCTCAGGACTATTTTTTTTTTTCCCCAGTCTTCTAAAGCAGTCTATACTCCACTGAGCTGATCTAAAATTCCAAGTACCACAGACCATAGTATTTTACCAATGGCTTGATTGATTCTTGAACCCAAATTTAAGTAAAATGGAATTGCACTAAATATATATCTGGCAACAGAAATCCACCCACTGTTGGAAGTGAAGTGCGTTTGTGCATTTCCAATTAATTTTGTGACCTTATATGGACAACTACATTAGTTTTACCTTTAGGGCTTTCTGAACAGCAGCCTTCTTCAAGCCATCAGGATTAAATTCTAATGGATTATGCTTTTAAGTCAGGAGAGAATGAACATAGGAAGGGTTAATAAGTCATGCAATGAAGCAATTCCACTAGGTTAATTAATTATGACATGACAACATAGGACAAAGCGGGGGAAAAAAAAACAACCTAGAAAAAACCCAAAAATCTTTCAAACAAAACAATGAAGGAACCAAAACGTCTGACAAAACCTTTTTTTTTTCCTCTTGTCCTCTCTTAATGTTTGCATTCTGCTCTAAAACTAGTATACTCACTTTCAGTCCACTTATATTTCCCTCACCAGTTTTTTTTACCATAATAAAGAAACTTCAAAAATAGGTTTTATTGAATGCCTGATGTCCTATGGACTGCCTTCTGAATGAACTTTTTTAAACTTGCTTAAGTACATTTTCACAACATAGAAGCTTCTCTGACGATAAGTCAAGTAATTATGTGAAAGAGTCCTTTTATGGGAGAAATTACAATGCTAAAAGTATTGATAAGACTTAGATCATTATAAAAATGGAAGTCGTTTAAGCCTCTTCAGCAGATAAACGATACAAACACTGCACGCTAACTAGAATGAAGGTCTACTACTTTACTCAGTTGAATGAAGACATTCAAATACTTTCATACGAATTTGAACTGATTTAGGAGGACAAAACCTCTGACTCCTTTCCACTAATTAAGCAAATCTTTAAATTTTATTTTAGAATAATATACTATTCTTCAAGTGACATGTGAAGTAGAACAGTGTTACAGAAAACTTGCATTCAACTCCTAAGAAATAATTTCAGGAAATATGATTTTGAAATAAAAGAGACTTTAAATTAGTGTACTTATGGCTGGTTTTTTCTTTAAGCACAAATTTTTGTTTCAAGGGAGAATTCTGCTTTAAAAGCTGTAGTGTGTAGCAACAAAAAAATTGCATCATGGCCTTTTTAAACATGCTGGTTTATGAACAGGAACCAACATTATTAATGCTCTGCCAAAACAAATGCCTTCCTGAAATTCAAATCCAAAAGTGACTCAAATTTGAAGAGAGATTTAACCTTTATGCAGAAATACTTTTTTACATTTTCTTCTGGAATGTCATATCCTGATGCTGGCCAATATAAATGATAAGATTCCTGGCATTCAGCTTTAAAATTTCTATTTCAGAATGAACATACAATACGATGAAACTGGAGAAAACCAGAAATAAGGTTCGGTTGGTTTTGTGGGATTTTTTTTAATAATTATTTTTCTTAAAATAAAATTAAGAAATCTTCCACAGCTATTTATCTAATACATTAGGGACTTACTATTGCACTTAAAGACCTTCAAAGATGGATACTGCACAATATCCTTAGGCATATCAATCCTAATGTTTAACTATCCTTTTCATTAGAAATTTTTTTAATGCCCAACAGGTATGTTCCTTTCTGGACTTTAAGCACTGTTTCTTGTTTTGTGACAAACATGAAAAAGACACTTTGTTTGCAGCAACCTTCTAGCATTTCCATCCCTATCTTTACTTCCTAAGGCTAAACTCTCTTCCTCTGGTAGTCACGTTTACTGGCTTTCCCATCATCATCACTGCTGTCCTCCAGATCTTAAATTGCTGTGGCCAAAATCAGGACCTTAGTAATGGCTAAGTAGAACAGAAGGATTAGTCCATACATCTTACAGGCTACATTCTTCTTTTCTGTATACAGTATGGGTTTTGTCTTTCGTAACAATATGATACAGCACGACTACAGATCTATTTCTGTAGTGCTATCCATCAGACAACTATTTCCATCCCATATTTATATGGGTGCCATGAACGTCCTCTATGGAATGTACCTTATTTTTTCAGATTGTATCTGGAATTCATCAAGATAATTTTGAATCCTAACCTGCCCCTCAACTTACTGGCCATCTTTCCTTCACATTTGCACCTGCATATTCAGTACACATTTTTTTTCCCCCTATATTATTATTTCAAAGAATTTTAAAAGTCAAAAACAAACCTATGTGATCAATTATAAAGGCAGGCAACCAATGATTCCTGGATATTGAACATGTCTCAATTCCTCTGGAATCATAGCAAGGATAGGCCAAGAGGGACATCAGCTGGGGCAAGTATGTTTAAGGCAGACTTCAAGTTTCAAGGGAAGGAGCTGCAGGTCCATGAGGATGGTGGCTGAAAGGCTGGGCGGGAGAAGACTAGGAGAAGAAAAGGGAGTATTCAATATAAAAAGCCAAGAAAAGGTCTTGCCTTGGGTGACAAAATTGTCTTGCTATGGTTCTAAGTGTCTCTGCAGTTATAGGAAAAGGGGACAGGTATCCAAGAACTATACTGATAACTGAGCCAGTAGAATACATCAGATTTCAGGCTAGCATTCTGTAACAGCCAGTGATATTTGCAGTAAATCCCAATAACAAACCCATAAATTATACCACAACTAACAAGCTGTTTTATTACTAAGCCAGATCCTAATTCAATATGCTTTGGAGTACAGCTCGTTACTTCTGTTGACTCACTAAACCTTCCTTGGGGTTAAAACGAGGCTTTAGAAGTTTCTAAATCTGTGAGTGCATCCTCAAGTGATTACCAGAAGACAGTCACTGATCTGTAAGAGCTGATTCAAAATATGAATAATTTATATGTAATAAAAACAACAAATTAAAAGAAAAATTGTTATGAACTAATAATAACATACCATAAAACTAGTGTTACTCACTTGTGGAAATCATACTAAGAACACTGTTCACACTCAACTTCAGGTAAATCAGATTTAAATAGGTAAATGTCTGAAATACGTGTCATGAAGCTAGGTTCCAGCAGTCAAGAAAACTGTCTAGAAAGGAACAGAGAGCACTCTGGGCATTAGATTTTCCTCTCCCTATATAAAGTGAGCCCCCTTTTTTAGCCCCCCACCCCCCTCTGGCCAAGTAACTCATGTTACATGTCAATTAGATATCTGAACCTGCAGGTGCGAATGTTTGCATAATACCTTGTGTTTAAAGATGCCCTGAAAACAAGATGCAGTTTTATGACTGCTGAAGCTGTTGTTATCTCTGGGCTACTACAGTCCTCTCCTCTCTCCTGGCCTCCACCCATAAATCTCATCCTCTGGCTTGCTGCAAGACTAGCACTCATGCAACTGCAGAACAAGGCAGTTAACAGTGCTGGTGAAGGAAATCCAAACCTAGCTATCTTAAAATGGTTGTGTTCCACTCTGACTCAACTCACTTCGGGGATTTGGAAAGATTTCTCCAATGTCTAAATAGATGCTGTTACATGTAGACGACATGTCCTAATGCAAAGACCCTAAGATCAATGAAAACATCAGGGCTACACTCTTTATCAAGCTTTTTGATTTTTTTTTAAAATTATTATTATTTTTAGGATGTGTCTAGTATTTTTGTAACTAAAAGAAACTGAAACTACTTATCAGTTTTAAAACCAAGATAACTGAACCACAGCTTATGAACTGCATTTCTTACTCACTCGGTAATGGACATAACTTTTTTGATACTTTAAAATTAACTTCTACAGAGGAACTAACTGAAAGGACCACAGAAAAGGGTTTTGTTGGGGTTTGGAAGGAGCAGAGGGGAAGGTGTTTTTAAATCAAGGTTTAGGATATGAGCCAAAAGTAGCCAGCCAGCAACAAATTTATCTGCACAATCTACAATGGCATACCCACCTCTCCTTGGCAAAAGAGTTCTTATGCTGAACAGATTCTCATTTTTTTTGAAAATACCAAGGTTGTGCTTGCAGATTTAAGCGTAAGATATTCAGAGGATCATTAATTTGTAATAATATTGTAACATTAAATTCAAGCAAAAAATATTAATTGGTGGTTCTCCCTAGGCTAGATTTTCCTGACTACAGACAAATTTGAAAAAAAGAAAAGGAGCTTGGGAATTTGCAAAACAAGGAGCATCATGGAGTGAAATAGAATTTACAAGGGAATTTATAGTTTGGGGAGCACAAAGAACCACAACCATTTTTAAAGCAGTACTTGAACCAATGTGGAGAGGTTGCAAGTTCTTAGAAACATTGAGTACATCACCTTTTAAAGAAACTACAGGGATGCTGGTTGTAATACTTCTTAGTTTAATTTCTTTGCAATAAAAGCCAACAATTCACCAGCACACAGTGTGCTAGTATAGTATGCATTTTATTTCTCAATGAATCAGCAATTTAAGTTAAATGTAAGAGCTTTTACAACAAACTTACTTTGGGTTTTTATCATAAAAAGTTAATTACTTACCCAATGATATGCTGATCAATGAAATTTAAATAGCCTTTAAAATGCAATAAAAATAGCACAAAAACAATGCACACTTGTTGAAACCATGCAGCAAAACAAATTGCATGCTCTCATTCCACTAGAGTGAGTGGCTTTAGTAGCACTAATCCACACTCTGGCAGATAAAAGGTACAATACAAATAATACCAGAGAACTCACAAATAGTGCTCTATAGAGTGAGGTAGTGTTTTCACAAAAGACTAGTCCCGATGCTCTCCTCTCTTTTAAGTATCCACACCCAAAGTTTCCCTCGTAGATACTCTTAGGAAGATGGAAATGGAAGGAGAAAGCAGAGTGATGGGATTGTGGCAGAATGAATGCATAAGCAGCTTTACTACACAAAAAAGTTAAGGAAAACAGTCAAAAGATTCCAGAGAAAACAGCAGATAACAAAAAGTAAGTAAATATTTGTCATTACAAATACTTTCATCTGTTAAATGACTTTCTGTAGTGCAGCAAGGTGAAACTTTTTTTTATTTTTATATTTTATTAATTATTCAAAGATATTAACCCACTTTCCAAGTTTACTCTTGGTAGTTCAGATTTATATGGCAGATCCAACTAAGTAAATTTAGAGACCAGCCTTCCAGACTGTTTCTGTTTCACTTGAAACATGTTTCAGATAAATCATCCCAGTGTCTCAGAAACCCACAACTATGATGCATCTGTGCAAAAGAAATACCTGTGGTGGGGATTAGCCACTATAACTCAAAAAAACCAAGGCTGATGACAAGATCTAAAATGTACCAGTGATAAGCATTAACTTAAGAAATCCATTCTGAAGGTAATAAAAAGTACTTAATTCGTCCAGAAAATATTTCAGCTGTAACACTAACGTTTTGGACAAAAGTCTTCAAAACTATTGAGAAGTATTAAAATTACTTCATTCTCTCTGAACTTTTTGTTCCCCATAAATACAAGCAATCCAAAAGAGCAATTAATTTTGCTATTACACTACACGACCCCTACCAGTGAATATGAACACAACATGAGAAGCCAGCAGACTTTCATGTTTAGTCTTGTAAATGTTGTTCCATATTAGAATCAAATGGACATTAAAAAAAATCTGTATTCACTATAATTTACTGCAGTTTGGCTAGCAGCTCCATGACATTATCTAAGCATTGTCTTTATAGAATCTATAGGAATCTTTTCAGCTCTCCTACATGAAGAAGTCTTCCCATGATATTTTTCGCCCCACCTAACTGTGAAGCCTTTCTGTATGTGGTTTTGGACAACTTAAATTCAACACAGTATTGTATTATTTTATTGTTGTAAACTTGTAAACGGAATTTGCAACTGTTCAATGTTACTTTCTAACATATTCTTTATAACACATTTCTGGAAAGAAAATGAATTAAAGTTAAATACTGAGTTATTTGTAGCAACTGCTTTTCTGGGCTGGTAGAGCAAGAAACAAAAAAAAAGAGGGTTAAACAGGTCCCACACTGTGACCACCCTTATTCCCAACCCTCCCAGGCAATCTTGTACTGTAGACAGAACATCAGACACAGCAATAAGAAATACGAGATCCTGTTCCCAGATTTCGTAATTGGTCAGCTTTGTGCAAGGAACTTCCCCTTTCTGAGCCCTAGAGTTTAGAGATCTACTGACTGGAAGTACTGAATAAGATACTGAAATTAAAATACTGTCCTCAAAAGTAGGTAGAACTTAAGACTTGCAGCCTAACCTTTCTGAAGGAGGGAGACAATGTTACAGAATGTTTAAAATAAGAAGGAAAAAACCTAAACTTAGGACAAAGCCTCTGAGTATTTGCTGGAGAAGCTAATCTAATATAGAAAAGCAGTTTTATGGAAAAAAAATTATAAATTCTGGATGGGAGAACTTTAAACTATTAAGTAAAAGGCTTTAGTGTATTTTAACAACTATATTAAACTTGTAACAATTTGAGTAAAATCCAGAGTTCCCCTGAATTCAATACAGTGAAGTAAAAAAGATAACAAAGGACTCTCTTTCAAATGAGCTACAACTTTTTAGCTTTTAAAATAACCTATAAATACTACTTCCAAACACTCCTCTATGCACCCTGGAACAGACATGAAATCACTAGTCAGTGATGTAAACTGTTTAGGCTACTAAGGTTTTATTTCTTACCACTCTGTTTGATGCAGCATTTTAACTTAAATTTAAGATGAGTGGACAAATTTGCAAAATGCATACAAAAAAATCTGAGGCTTGAAAACTTTGTTCTCTGATTAGTACTTCAGCCACCACTTCCAGAATTTCTCATCTAACAGCAATGCTGAAAAACAGCAAAACTCAGTGTTATGCTTCACATATCTATTTATGGTAGGGTTTACTTTATTACTTCTATCATTTACAATAAGGAACAGTACTTTACTATCCTGAAATAAACTACAAAACAGTCTGTGATTGTCATAAACATGCTATTTCACAGTCCCATAGTATAATCCATATAATGACAGAACCATTAGTTTTTTGAGGTTTATGTTTTGCACAAGCAAATAAACAATACTCCAAATGACAACCTGACAGAAGTCTCACACAAGTATTCTGCCACTGTAACATCAACTACACACTATTAGTTTCATAATGAGGACTTCGGTACCTTCAAATCTACCACAGATACCCTAAGCCAAAGCAAGTAAGTTTACCTGAACTCAAGGAAGTAGGCCTTTTCCTGGTTAGTTCCTTAAAATTCCTCATGCTAATCCCATACTATTTATGGAAAACACTGTCTAATAAAAACATGCAGCCTTTCAAGTCCAGGAAAGGAGCATTCTTTAAAGAAAAATCACACCGATTAAAGAGTAATGTTTTATTAAATATATATCTATAATACTAGAATACTAGAAATGTGGACCTTACATTACACGTTTTGAAACGAGACAAAGTATAGAAAACATGGCATAATGTGTGTTAGTAAAGCAGTGTGCCATACTACCAAGCAAGACATGCTGGAAATACACAAGAGATGCCCACGAGAAAAGGGTATCCATTAGAATATAACTTACGGGCAGGTTTCTTGCCGAGTCCAAGTAGAGAATAAGCAATGCAGAAGAAAGCCCATCATTGGCTTGGTCCTTATCAGCTCTAATGCTTGTTAGCACCTAAATCAAAAACATACTGTAAGCCTTTCTGAAAATCAAGTAATATCATTATTTCTGTCCCATTCCTGAAAAATATTTTAAAAACCTCTCCCAAAATGTAAACATTCACAAAAATGCACACTATGAAGAACCAGAAATAAGTTTTCAAGACTCACATAGATACTTCAAACCCATTTTTATAGAAATTTCCACCCCATTTCCTAAATATTTTTTTTTTTTAGACTGGACAGATTATAGTGTCATATCCAGCTTTATCTCCCATGCTAATGAAATGTTAGCTGATATTCTCAAACCATAACATTAAGAGAAAAGAAGAGGACAACAAAAGCATTTTAAAATCCCATGCCACAAGAGTACATTGACAATTATGACTGGTTTGAGCTTTCTAAAGACAAACAGCTCGGAATAAAGTTACAGGTTTATCCAAATTCACAACAGCTACAGAATTAAATTACTTACATACTTAACACCCCCCTCCCCTGTCCCGCCCCC